GCGCCAAAGGCATTTTTCACGTGCATATTTAGTTTTTTAAGGCTGTTAGCCAATGAGAAATTGAGTTTGTCAGAACTAGTGTTTTGATTGGATAACAGGTGTGTGGGTGTATCACCGAAGTTAAGCAACGTCGAACCCGGTTACTACTTAGAGTGATGGCCGGTTGGGAAGACCAGATGTTGTAACCTTGGGTGTGCGAATGGTGTAATGGATAATGGCATGGAAGTGTTAATCGGGGAGCAGAGTTCGATTTATTCACTTACACTCAAATACCTTCGGGAAATGTATGAATCCAACTCTTATCTCCCCAGTTATGGGTTAATTAGTCAGTCTTATGTGAAAAAGAAAGAAAACAAATAAAGAAAATTCTTACAATATAAAAATATTTTTTGCCTTAATTAAAAGGGTTGATAAGCCGTAAAAAACGTATTAATCAATCATGAATCATCATAGACAAAGCCGTTCTGATCCCTTTAGATACACAGCATGAACTTCTTTTTAATGCTCGCCGGTTTTTCGTTTTCCCCAAGAGTTTTTCCGCTTGATATTGTTGTAAAACATCGATTTTTCATCGCCTCGGGTTGTTCTTTAAAAAAAGAAAGAAGTGTCGTTTTTTTTTGTGTTCGAGCCGAAAATCACTGATGGAAACATTGTCCATTAAACTTTTTCCCCCTCGTTAAATCGTGATGCACCGAAACATCTTAGGCGATTCACCTATCCGATTGTTTTCAAACGCCTTACAATGCTTATATAAGATATAAGGTGGAGTATATATACAATGTCTCGTGTCATTGGACCTGAATCATTTTTAATCAATGTTTCGATTTGGTCATCATCATCGACTGTAGTCCAATCGGAATGTTTTCAAAATTTCCTGATGAACTTCTTTTCAACAGTATTCTCAGCTAAGGTATTATCTCCATAAATGGTACATATCTTTGTTTGCTATTTGTACTGCTTTTTGTCCCTTTCCGGAAATAAACGATCATGAAATGACGAAAATCCATCTCAGGAGCTCCTATTTTCATATTTAATGTAAACATATTTACAAAAGCTGTTTATTGTTTTAAAAAGCGATTATTAGAATTGCAAAAACCTAAACAAATGAAAGTGAATTCATACATTTTCTTTGTTCTTGAAAACTGACAACAAAAATAATAAACATTATTTATTTATTAGATTGTTTACTGGAACAGTTGGCAAAACGTCGACTAATTGCCAATCGATTCAAACTTTATAAAATGATAAATAATAAAAAACGTATTTTAATAATTTAGTAAATGTTTAAAAAATGTTCTAGTATTTATTTCTTTATAAATTGGTAAATAATAAATATGGAATTACATTATTAGTCGTAATATAATTGTATTAGTACTTAGAGTGATGGCCGCTTGGGAAGACCAGATTAGAATTAGGTTTAAGAATGTTGTAAATATAAAACTATTCTTGTAAATAAATAATCAACTAAATAAACAGTGTTTAAGATTTTTATTGTAAATTCTCAGGAACAAAAAAAAAATGTATAAATTCACTTTCTTCATGTTTAGGTTTTATTACAATTCTAATCATATCTTTTTAAAACAATTAACATTACCGATGAATGAAAGTAGTTAAAATAAAGGCGGTGTCATAGGAAAAAAAAAAGTCCTTTAGACACCCCATCCATGTTTACCAAATTATGATAATGGTAATGATACTTGATTTGAATTTGCTGTTGTCTGCATCCGATCATCGGGATTGTCATCCTCTCTCCCTATGACCTTTCTTTCCCCTTGTGGCGGTGGCTGTGAACCAGAGAGAGAACTTAACGAGGCTCTTCGCTTGAATTTGATTTTGGTGGACAAATCTGCGCGACAAAGAAGCCCACACACCTCGCGGCTCAAAGGGGATTCAGACAGGCAAGATCTGACAAACTTTGCTGTATCTGGCTGTCGGATCCTTGGACTGTCAATGTTCACCATGATTATGCCGACTGGGGCTAACCTCTTCCGCCGGTTTGGCCTTTGAGACTATGTAGTTCTTTGACTATTCCGCCTTCCGGAGTTCAGTTTGGTGCTTCATCTTCGATCTTACCGTCATGGGTGGACCCTACGGGAGCTAGAACTGCAGACGGCTTTACTGTTCGGATTACTGGAACAAGTAAGCCCTCTGCCATGACAAGGAACGGCCATATGTAATTTAAACTGGATGTTGAAGTGAACAGTTCATTATCAAATGTATCAAATTGACTCATTATTACTTTAATGACAATAATTGAAACGAATCAACACATAAGAAAAGTCATGAAGAAGTAAACATTGTCATGTCAGGAGAAGCGTTCATATACACATCTGTTCGACAATGTAGTGATACTTGGGGAAAAGATCGGAATTTGCTAAATACACTTGGAGTACGTGGAGTAATGCAATGTCTCGTATCTTTAGATCTGAATAATTTTTTAATTATTGTTTCGGTTTGGTTATCACCAACGACTGCAGGCCAGATTGATACTTAAATTTATTGTTGTCGGCACCCGCTCGCACCCGAACATCAGAAGCTCTCTCACCTGAGCAGAAGCGCTTGCATCGTGGCTCAAAAGGGTTTGAGACAGGCGAGATCTAGCAAATATGGTTGTATCCGGCTGTTGGATCCTTGGACTGTCAATGTTCACCATAGTTATGCCAACCCTACTGGTGCTACCCTCTTCCGGTCTGGCCGTTGAGATTATGTAGTTCTTTGACTATTCCGCCTTCGGGTGTTGGTCGCGTTCAGTTTGGTGCTTCATCTTCGATCTTACCGCCATGGGTGGACCCTACGGGAGCTAGTACTGCAGACGGCTTTGTTGTTAGGATTACTGGAACAAATAAGCCCTCTGCCATGACAAGGAACGACCATATATAATTTAATCTGGATGTTGAAGTAAACAATTCATTATCAAATGTAACAATTTGACTTATTATTACTTTAATGACAATAATTGAATGGAAACAATAAAAAAAGAAAAGACTTGAAGAGGTAAACATTTTCATGTCAGGAGAAGAATTCATACACACATCTGTTCGACAATAAGGTGATACTTGGGGAAAAGATCGGAATTTGCTAAATACAGTTGGAGTGTGTGGAGTATATATGCGATGTCCCGTGTCACTGGATCTGAATAATTTTAAATCAGTGTTTCGATTTGGTCATTATCAACGACGGCAAGCCAGATTGACAATAACTGATAAAATTAACAAGCCATTTCCCTGTCCCAATTAACAACAGATCGTATATCTTTTTTTTTTTTTACATCAACTACCAGGACAGATTTAGATTTGAGCTTTGATGGCATCAGAAGCGTTGTTGATAAAGATTAGGGTCAATATAGGTGTAAGGATCAAGGCCTAGAAGGCAGGCGTTTTAATGTAAGCAGATCTAGAAGAGTGACTTTTCAATAAAAAATAATTTCGCAATTAGATAATGTTATACCTGACGTACATATTCTTTTATTAATAGAATCTCCCACACATAATAAGTAGTAGTAGTAGTACGAACTCAGTGGTGTTGAGTGAGTCAGTCGATGTCGGACATTGAAGTATCAACCATCACAACTAGATTGCTGCGTCATTAACTCTTACTGCAAGTTCCTAACGGTTTGTACGTCGAACCTAATTTAGGACGACTCAGTGAAATACAAGCCTCCACTGTGAAAACTACTTTACAACACATTGGCGACGAAGGATTCGTTTCTCATACGGGAAAAGAAAAAGTTTTCGTTCACTCTATAACAACACAGATAAGAAAGATGGAATCAAATCAAAAATTCAAACTTACTAAGAAAAACAGCATGACAAATATCCATACGACATATCCAAAGCAACAGCCAGAGCTTCATTATTCTTTTTTTTATAAACTCCTTCGACAATAACTGTTAAATCATCAGCAGTGGACAGAGGGAAGCGAAAGCCATATTGCTTGTCAGAAAGAAGATCCTGCTAGATGAGATACTTAAACAATTCAGTTTACTGGTTGGTGTATCTCGACTGGTAGTAAGGGCATGTTTGTCAGCACCAGTCCGCATCAGGTCATCGAGATCATTATTCTCTCTCCCTATGACCTTTCTTTCCCCTGGTAGCAGTGGCTGTGAATCAGAGAGAGAGCTTAACGGGGCTTGCAGAGTCGAAAATAAATCATCACTCACAAGGTTGAGTAAATGCCGTTGAACTCTGACAAGTTGGGAAAGTGAGGATAGGACAGTCCCAGCCCAAATATGGCTACAATATTCCATCTTTGGTCTAATCTGATTCCTATAATGATAAAGCATAAAAGTTTCACTTGAGGGTTGGCGTCAATGGTTGTAAAAATATGCTCAACTCTACGCCTAATCTTTCATTTATATCCCGTGTTAGTTATAACAATTTCGATAGCGACCCTCTACCTTGTGAGACTCTTGAGCTTTGTAGTGCGTGACCCTTAGTATGAAAATATATATCTCACCTTAGTTGCTTTCTTTCTTTCTTTCTACTATAGTTCCTCTTTATACTTCTTATATCGTTCACTTTTGTCCCGTCGCAAAAAATCTTTCTTTTTTTTTCTATTACACTTCTACTTAATACGTCTTATATCGTTCGTTTTTGTCCCTTCTCTAAAATTCTTTCTTTCTTTCTTTCTTTCTTTCTTTCTTTCTTTCTTTCTTTTATACTTCTGCTTTATACATCTTATATCGTTCGTTTTTGTCCCTTCTCTAAAAGTCTTTCTTTCTTTCTATCTTTCTTTTATACTTCTGCTTTATACATCTTATATCGTTCGTTTTTGTCCCTTCTCTAAAATTCTTTCTTTCTTTCTTTCTTTCTTTCTTTCTTTCTTTCTTTCTTTCTTTCTTTCGTAATTTCATAATTTCGTTCTTAATTTTTTTCTTATGGGCCTCATAGGGATCAAGGCTGGAAAAAAAGTCAGGGTTTGATCGGTGTTGAATTATGTTACTCGGTTGGTTTTTGAGACATTGAAAGCTAAAGCCAGTTTTTCCCACTGTGTGCTGTTAG